ACTCAGGAGGCTGAGATCTGAGGATCACCGTTGGAAGCCAGCTCAGGAAAATCCTTGAGACTCTTATCTCTAGTTAACCACCAAAAAGCTACTAGTGGAGTTCTAGCTCAAGTGATAAAGCACTAGCCTCAAGCAAAAAAGCTCAGGACAGCTTCAGGCCCTTAGTTCAAGTGCAGGAGCAGCATGCGCGCGCACACGTACACATACGTACACACACACAAACACACACACACAAAAAGAGTATAAAATTTAAAAGCTAAAGTCTACTAGCACTGATTAAAAAGAACTTAATATAAGTCATGTCTTAGCTACAAAGGTATAAAAATGTTTTGAGAAGACCTAGTAGGAATTTTGATGGAAGCAAATAAATGGAGCTCTAAAATGGAAGTACTTATGTGGTTAAGAGGTTTGTGGTCACTGGAGTAGTCTAGCTTGTTCTAGGATAACTATACCAAGTATGTATCTTTGGGAAAGCTTCTGCTTAATCTTAACTAATTAAAAAAACAACAACAAAAAACCCTTTTTGGATACCTTTCAATACAGGAAAATTAAAAAGGAAAATTAAAAAAAAACATTAAATGGAGTTTAATTTGTTCGAATCTATACTTAGCCAATTTTCTCTCCCACAATATTCCACTTTATTCATTTTTTTTCTTTCTTTAAGGAAATTGGTAAACAAGCAATTGGTCAAGAATTTCTTTTTAAACAGTCTTTCAGAACATGAGCAGAGGAAACCTTTTGCTCTACAGCAAAACCTGGAAATCTCTGGCATGGCTATATATGATTTCTCTTTGTCTGTTTTTCTTGAAGTGTTAAATATTGTGCTGTATCTTTGTGCAAGCAGTCTGACCCAAAGGTAGCAAGTTTACACCACTTGCTGGCAAACCCCAGAGAGACCGTGAAAGACACACATGCTCGCTACTGATTCATCCAGGTTTGACATTCTTTCTTATATGGCCTGGAACTTTTTGGGTACCTGGATCTTTCTTTCAAAAATTTTTAAAAATCTCTAATTAAAGAGATTAAGTCATCAAATAAATATTCTCTTTAAAAATTCACTATTATTTTACATAGTACCATAATAAGCTATGGTGGTTTTCTGATTTTGTTATTTAGAAAATGAAATACCCCATTCTTTTTAAGAACTTAGTTTCATTTAATAAAAGAAGTTTTCTTTAAATATATTACATTATTTTACTTACTGTGTTTTTGCATTGGTATCAAAACACAATGTTGAATGTGCTGAAAAAAAATCTTATTTTTTAACACATTCAGTATTTTTCGGTTTTCAAGGCTTGCAATGAATTGGATATTTAGTGTTAGAAAAAAGATTGTCTATACAATAAGGGAATATATTTAAATTTTCAAGGACAGATAGGAGGAAGAGCTCACCTCAAATAATTTTTATTTGATTTGCTACCCTATAAGGTAGCAATTTACAGCAACTCTTTATTTTTTATGTTCCATTAATGACTTTAAAATATGAAATCTAATGAAACAGAATCCCATGTATAAATATTATTCCATAGATTCTTGTAGGTAATTTCTCTATCTTCTGGACATACACTCCTATTAAGAGCAACTTCAAAAAGTACAAACTACCTAAGAAAGGGAAAAATTAAGGAAATTTGAATATGTGGTTGTTTTTTCACTATTATAAATAAACTTAAGGTGGGCTCTGGTATCTCATGCCTATAGTCCTGGTTACTCAGGAAGCTGGGATCTGAGGATGATTGTTTGAAGCCAGCCAAGACAGGGAAGTCTGTGATACTTTTATCTCCACATAGGCACTAAGAAGCAGGAAGTGAAGCTGTAGCTCAGGTGGTAGCTTTGAGCACAAAAACTCAGGGACAATATTCAGGCCCCAGGACAGGCAGAAACAAAAATTAAAACACAAAGTAAACATACTTTAGGGAAACAGAATAGTTAACATTCACTTAAGGATTTTTGTGTTGTATCCATGGAGCACATAGGTCTGAAGGTTTTTATTTTTCTCTTTTTGGTGAGTTCCTCGTAAAATTATTAATAGATGTTTTAGAATATGCATACCCAGTTTGTACTGTGTTTCCTTGAGCATAATAGTTTATATATATATATATATATATATATATATATATATGGAAAGAAAACTTATGGTTTTATTGTGACTGGTTTTAGGAAGGTTGTGTTAGCAGTGATTACATTTTAAAATCCATATAGGTATCTTGGGTTTATGTTCAAGTTCTGTTGTTTTCTTTTTAACTAATATATTTTACTTCTGATTTGCAATTTGACTCAAATGAAACAGTAAAGAAGATAATTTGCAGTGGCAAAGGCCTCAAAATGAGCAAATGAACAACTAAAAAAAATGGGAACGATACTTCCAATAAAATTTCCTGTTTCTAGGAAGTGTTCCCTTTATGATTTCTCTTGTATTCTTTCTGAAGCAGAATCTTAGTTTCATCTTGATGCCAGTGGTTTTCTTTTCCCTTCTTTCTCCTTTGTATTTTATTTTTGTATTTTCTTCTCTTAATTTTATTATTACATACATATATATATATATACATATATATATATATTGTGTGTGTGTGTGTGTGAGAGAGAGAGAGAGAGAGAGACATGTGCGTAATATACACAAGTCCTGGGGTTGGAACCTCTGGGCCTGGCACTATCCCTGAGCACTTTTGCTCAGGGCTAACTCTAGCATTTGAGATTTGAGCTACAGCTTCATTTTTAGCTTTTTTTATTTTTTGGTAGTTTATTGGAGATAAGTCTCATGGACTTTCCTGCCTGGGCTGGCTTCAGACCTTCAACCTTAGATCTTACCCTCCTGAGTAGCTACAATTACAAGTGTAAGCCATAAGTGCCTCATATTAATTTAATTTTTAATACTAGCATAGAGTAAAAAAGAATTAGTAATCGATTATTTCCTGTCTTTTACTAATATATAGTAAGTCCCTAGTGTTATTAATATTTTGTTTAATGTATAGAGAATTTGAAGTAAAAGCAAGGACTCTGAATTCTCTCACTATGGGGAAGGTCCTGGGATTGAATATTTAGGTATTTCAAGATTTTCCCCGTAAACTGACAAGGACTGCTCACAGGGTCAGAACTATGCAGTGATGGTGAGGACAGAACTGTTGACACGTTGCTGTGGTATGTAGTCACTGTCACGTGTGCACTGCGCCAGAAAGATACTGGAGAATGCTAGTTGCCACCATTGCTAGTTCAGTTTGGAAAGCATCAAAGAAGATTTTGAAGTGTTAGTGCTGCCCCACGAATGGAGGACATAGTTTGGTTAAATGTAACTGATTAGACATGGAGTTTTAGTATATAATATTGTAAAGCCATTATAAGACTATATCTTATTGTAATAAAAGATCAAAAATATGGACTGCATTTTTATTTAGATTATCAAAGGAGATTCATTTTCTTTTTTAAGCCAAATTCTTTAGTTCTTGTGTTGCTTTGAATGCTCAATATATATTGTTACCTTGAACAATGTGTTTGTATTAATTTTTTAGGGAAGAATGTTACAAAATATATTATGAATTCTATTAGACTATATTATCAATTCTATTACATTAGATGAAAATAAAGGTAGACATTACCTGTCTTTTTTTTTGGTCGGTTGTGGGGCCTGAACTTTGGGCCTGGGTACTGTTCCTCAGCTCTTCAGCTCAAGGCTAGCACTCTACCACTTGAGCCACAGCACACTTCTGGCTTTTTCTGCTTATGTGGTGCTGAGGAATCGAACCCAGGGCCTCATGCATGCAAGGCCCTCTACCACTGGGCCACCTTCCCAGTCCTTATCTGTCTTTTTAACCAGTAAAGATGGCTAGATAGTTTTGTTATGAGTAAGTAGCTTGCTTCTGTAATAACTTAATTTTTGCATATAATGGCATTTATGCCATATGTTGGGTATTGTTACCTGTCATCTTGAATGCTACCATACTTTTTGTGGTTGCTGCATAGAATATTTTCTCTCTTTATTAGTGGCATAGATTTTAAAAATGGAAATATTCAGTGTATTATCAGATCGTATTGATTAAAGAACATTACATAATCCAATAAAATCATTGTTGTAATTGCATTGCTTCAAAATTATAATTTTCCTATTCTTAAAGGATACATGATGTATTTGAGTACTCTTACCAATATTTATATCTATTTCTTTAGTTATGTAGAGATACTATCTTAAAGAATAGTAGTTATGGACTGGGAAGGTGGCTCAGTGGTAGAGCATTTGCTTTGCTTTGCACGCTTGAGGCCCTGGGTTCGATTCCTCAGCACCACATAAGCAGAAAAAAAAAGCCGGAAGTGGCACTGTGGCTCAAGTGGTAGAGTGCTAGCCTTGAGCTGAAGAGCTGAGGGACAGTGCCCAGGCCCAGAGTTCAGGCCCCACAACCGGACCCCCCCCCAAAAAAAGAATAGTTATTCTGAAGTTTTTTTTTTACTATAACTAATGGAAATATATTCACCGTATATAGATACAATGATGTTCATGAAAGAAAAAGCCAGTTGTACATGATATATGATAGGCTTGTAATGAAAACTCCGTTTCATTTGCTAATTTTGCAATTTAATCCACACACATATATATATAAATGTACATATACATATAATACGTGTATAATATATGAATATATGAAATATACATGAATATATACACATATGTGAAATATATATTTCTACCTATACACATAATATTCCCAACCAGGAGCCTGATTCTTTTTTTTTTTTTTTTTTGGGTCCAGTCATGGGGCCTGAACTCTGGGCCTGGGTGCTGTCCCTCAGCTCTTCATGCTCATGCATGCATGGCAAGCGCTCCACCACTGAGCCACCTTCCCAGCCTGAGCCTGATTCTTAATTGAATAATTTTTATCAACTAACTGATTATCATTTATAGATAAGACCTGATATCCCATTTTGTAAGCTTGCTGATACTTTTTTCATCATAATAAAATGGTTATGCTTTAGTAACTAATTCTTTTCTATACTTTTTCTTCCCCTGTCTTTAGAAAAATTGGAAGCTCAACCTCCCACCCCAGGACAACTGAGATATGGTAATGTCTCTAGAACTGTTAAATGTGAATGGATCTCCCTTTTGGTCTTGAAATAACGATGTTTCATCAATAGCACAGAATAGTCGATAAATTAAATCTTCCCAGATAGTGTGGATTAGCCTATTTATTTTGTAAGAGCAAAAATTTATAAACTTGTTTTGGGATGTATCTGACACTATGGGATATCTGTATTGTTACAGCATATCTAATACTGTTAAAGAGGGTTTTTACTAAGTAGAAATGGAGAGAGGGTTTTTTTTTTTTTTTTTGGTGGGTTGTGGGGCTTGAACTCTGGGCCTGGGCGCTGCCCCTCATCTCTTCAGCTCAAAGCAAGCACTTCACTTGAGCTACAGCGCCACTTCCGGTTTTTTGGAGATAAGAATTTCACGGACTTTCCTGCTCGGGCTGGCTTTGAACCATGATCCTCAGATCTCAACCTCCTGAGTAGCTAGGATTATAGGCGTGAGCCACCGGCGCCCAGCTCAAAATGGAGAGATTTTTAAGGTAACTGTTGAACTAGAAGTTGTAAACTGAAGGCTAGGTAGAGTTGTTTTCTGATACAGAAATATTTCTGGTTTGCTGCTTGTAACAATGTAAGTTTATATAAAACTACCAGCAAGAAGAACCTTATTCATGTTCCTGATGTTACTTTGTTTTTCTCTGTTATGATAGGAATAAATACTACAGAACAAACATAGAATTAATGTAAAACACCTAGGATTATTATAAAGGTGATGGAAAAAGAGAACTAGTTTAGTAGTGCAGGAGTGAATTTGGGTAGGTTGTAAATTAAGTAGTTAAATATTAAATGTAATTTGCTAATGACTGCTTAGTTATGAAATAACGTTTGCTAAAGAAAGTTGAGTCAAAAATTAGTGTTCATTACTGAGAGCAAGTTAAAATAATTAGGAAAAGATAATAGCAAGTCCTTTTTTGTCTCACAGGTAGAATATAACATACTAGGAATTAGTAGATTTCTTCAAATACCAAAACAATTTAAGAATTCTTCAGGATTTGTCTTCCCAAGTAAACTTTTCTTGGTTCTACAAGCTTAGAAGCTATCAACATCACTATAGAATAGTAGTATCACCTTTTTTGTAGGTGATAATGGAATTAACCATTTATGTGAATAACTTACCGTACTGATCTGAATCTTTGAGTGGTGGGACCCACATCTTACCTATCTTTGTGTCTCAAGTTCACAGTGGAACATCTAGTACGTATTTGTTTTTGAAAAGCTATTTTTGCTTTGGATTAAAAATAGTTTCTATTTATAGAACCCATTTAGGTACAAACAAAAAGATACATCATATCTTATAGTTCAAAGTGATTAGTATAGCAATGCATCTTGATTTTACTGAGCTTTTGCCAGTATGAAAATTAGTATAATATTACTGTGTTTTTGTTTTTGTTTTGGGTCCGGTCGTGGGACCTGAACTCTGCTCCTGGGCGCTGTCCCTCAGCTCTTCAGCTCAAGGCTAGTGCTCTACCACTTGAGCCACAGTGCCACTTCCAGCTTTTTTTCTTTTTGCTTATGTGGTGCTGAGGAATCGAACCCAGGGCCTTTTGCTTGCAAGGCAAGCACTCTACCACTAAGCCACCTTCCCAGTCCCAATATTACTATTTTTGACTCCCTATTTTAAACTATTTGTTACTGGCCAGCTTTAGAGGCATCAGTAAGATAACTCCCAACCAGAAAGCCATCCCAGCTGCCTCACTACTACTTTTTCCTATTTATGTTTCAGAGACCATTGGGAAAATGATATCTAGATATACCTAAGTAGCTTTCTCTTCACTTTTTTTTCTTTTGGTGAATTTAAAGGAGTTTATTATTCTCTTTTGGCCTATTGTGTTTGTACTATGTATTTGGAAATTGTTTGTGTATATGTTTTATAAGCTGCTTATTGCCAGATTTGAATGTTCGTGTGAAAAGTCCAAGAATTTTGAACTTTTTTTTTGCCTCTTTGAATAATCCCATTTCATCAGTGTACTATTTCATTTCTTATCGCCTTAATAGTATTTAATATCGTAAGCTGAGATCTGAGGATCACAGTTCAAAGCCAGACTATGCAGGAAAGTCCGTGAGTCTCTTATCTCCAAATAAACCATCAGAAAATCAGAAGTGGTGCTGTTGCTCAAGTGGTAGAGTGCTTGCCTTGAGTTGAAAAGCTGAGGCACAGTGTCCAGGCCCAGAGTTCAAACCCCATAACCAACCAAACTGCGACCCCCCCCAAAAAAAAGAGCTGAATGTGTTTGTATTGTTTATACCAGTATTCAGGAGGCTAAATACAGGAAGACTGCAAGTTTAAGACCAGTGTGAGTTACACTGTGAGAACTCATTTCAAGAAACATTCTTCATATTGAATATTTTCCTTTTGGACATTTTTACTTAATAGGTTAAATGGCCTATTATGTTGTATCCTATGTAATATTACAACTATAATATTGTATATGTGATACACATTTCCATTCTATATATACAAGTTCATTGATGGTGTGGAATTTGTTTTGGTGATACCAAACTTTCATGGCCTTTGGATTGTATTTTCATTTTACATATGTTCAGTATAATTTTCTGTTAAATTGTAATTTTATTCAAAAGAAGAAAAAAAACCTAAAATCAAGTTGATATTTGTAACCTATAGTATAAAATTTAGATTCTTGATATTCATCCAAGGAAGTGCTTAGCTCAGGTGATAGCTGACTGTAGTTGAGCAGTTTTATAGATCAATCAGAATGAAGCCTTTTGCCTATTCCTCACTTTGAATCTATTTCATAGTCTACCTTCAGTTCTCTAAGTATGAAATTTTCTTTTCCAGGTTAGTGGTCCTCAATTATTATCAAATTCTATGTACTCCACATTGTACAATATGCTGAAAATGCAATATGAGTAAATGTGTAAAACAATCAGTGGTTTTCATCTTAGCATTTTTAGTGTCTTACATCGCTTAGTTTATGTATGAGATAGATGAGGTAAGATGTGCCTTTAGTCGGAAGGGAACAAGTTAAATTTTCATGTAAAACAGACATTAATCTTCATAGCTTGTCGTATTAATTAGGGATTCTTCTGGATTGTAAGGTGAGAAAGACATCACATCAATGTCTAATAAGAATGAGATAATCACTTATAAAACACATCCTTAAAAGGTTACTGGTGAGTGAAAGTAGTTAGATAGTTGGCCTGAAAATTTATTTGAGACATTTTTCATTATTTCCAATAGATCAGTTTTATGGTAGTTCTCTTTAGGCATAAGAGAAAAACACATTTATATCAATAGCAATAAATCAGGCAAGACATGAAACTAATAATATATGCTTAATGATTTATTCTGTTATGTTTATTTCTGTGAATGTGTGAGATAGAGAGGAGGGAGAAAGATGGAGGGAGAAAGAGAAAGAGATTAAGAAAGAAAGAGAGAAAGAGTGTTTCAGTAACTAAAGACCTAACATTTGTTTTGTTTTGTTTGTTTTCCAGTATATGATCTATTAAATTATTTTAGCTTATAGCAACAGCAAGATCTATTGACCGTTATTAATGACAAACAAATTCCACTGGTGACCAAGTCTTTTTAGGACAGTTCAATGATAACATTTGTTTTTGACATTCTGAAATGTCAGAATCTTCAAATATATTTTTCTGTTGATGTTTTCCAGTATTCATCCACAATGCGATACCTTTCGTAGGGTTTGGCTTTTTGGATAATGCAATTATGATTGTCGCAGTAAGTTTTTTTCTCTCATCATTTCTATTTTAATAAAGAAATCAATGTAACCGTATTATCCTAACAATTTGCATACTATAATTGTAATTTTAATTATTATAATAAGTGAGGCTTTTTTATTATATTTCATATTGATTAGACCAACTTGATCTTAAAACATCATATATGTTAACTCTTTAAGATTTTTGGCAAAGCATTTAGTCAAACATTTTTAGTTTATATTCTGTTCTAGTTTCAGCATTTTTATTTAAAAGGTACATAAAGTTTTCTGGTGTACTTTGATTGTATTGTAGTTGTTATCACATAAGTATTATTTAATTAATTTTTTTCATTCAGAAATGTTGTTTCAAGGACTGGGAATGTGGCTTAGTGGTAGAGTGCTTGCCTGGCATGCATGAAGCCCAGGTACAATTCCTCAGTATACACACAGAAAAAGCCAGGAGTGGCACTGTGACTCAATTGATAGGGTGCTAGCCTTGAGCTGAAGGACTGAGGGACAGTGCTCAGACCCAGAGTTCAAGCCCCAGGACTGACCAAAAAGGAAAAAAAAAGTTTTATCAGTGTCTGGATACTAGCCCTCAGTCTAGCTATTTAACCTAATAACCTAAAGGTGTCTTAGGATCGATCCATTGTAGAACTTTGACCTACA